AAAATAAACTCACAATTTCACTTTTTTTTTTGCTGGTCCTTTGTCACCATTTATTCGTCCATTGCTTTCTTTTTTTTATCAAAACACTATGATTTTTATTTTTTAAAAGTAAATGTATAATAGAGAAAAAGAAATGAGAAGGAAAGAAAAGAAAGAGATAATCAAATATATTTTGATTTTTATCTTTTGTCCTTAAAAGTAATTTCACAAATAAGTAAAGTTGAATATATATATATATATATATATATATATATATTCTCAAATGAAGGGTGTAATGAGATAAATATATTGTGTAAATAAAACTTTTCTTAAAATTTTATTATGAGAAGTATTTGACCAAATTTTTCCACAAAAAAAAAATATATATATTTGCTATTTGTACAGCCACGTGATGCCATCTAGCGTAAAATAGACACGTTACATTTTGCCTCTTAAATATCATAATTTTGTCACTTTTAGTATGCATAAAATATTAAATATATTTATTTTATTTTAGATAAAAACAAAAACAAAAAACATATTTGGTACATACGTATTTTAGAAAGTTATTTTTGAAAATAAGTAAAAGAGGTGATCGTAAGAGATGGTTGTTGATGGTTAAAGATGGTGGTTGGAGGTAATTGTTAGCCGTTGGAGGTGGTGGTTGGACGAAGTTGTGGGTTGTAAGAAGTGGTAGCCAAAAGTGATTGTCAACAATTAAAGATATCGGTTGCCCAAAAGTGGTTCCCGAGCATAAAAGGTGATGGCCAAAAGTAATTGTCACGTTGCAAGGTGGTTGGCAGTTGAGTAGAGAAAGAGAAAGAGAAAAAAATGAGGACAAAAAATTTAATTCAACAAGTGAAACTTCAATTTTTTTTTTTTGTGTTTACAAATTATTAAACAAAAGGGAGCTTTTTTAATAAGTCCATTCTCTAAGAATCCTATTCCATAAACCCCATAGTGTTTTCTACTATTCCATCAGGTCCTATTTTATATTAAAAGACCAAAACACCCTTCTCCTCTTCCCCTCTCTTTTTTTGCAGAAAATCACACACAATATCTCCACCCTTCCGAAAACCCAAAATCGTGTTCCATATCGTCTCACACCCATACGCATCTCATTGTTCCATCGTCGAAACGTCTCATCGTTGGCTTCGTCATACCTCTACCATCTGTCTACGGAAACGTGGAAATCACCATTGGTAAACATCTTGGAGTTCCATCTTCGTCAAAATCACCATTGATGACCATTTGTGACAACCCAACCATCAATATGGAGAAAAAGTAAGTAATCTCACCAATCTTGTACGTAAACCCTAAATATCTTGTTCAAATTTCACCATTGTGAACTTCCAATATCTCCTGTTTCTATTCATACAATGTATGGAACTTCATATTTTTACTGTTCATGCCCTAATTGTTAATGTGAACCCCTCAATCCCAATCTCCAAGTATATGGTTTTGTTTACCCAAAAATAATGCAGTGGCAATTACGTTGTGTTGTCAAAAGCTGTGAACATTTACATGGGAATGAAAAATGTTGGGCCAAGACAATTATTTCAGATGTTGTTGTTGTTGTTGTATGTTTTAATCATGTGAATCTCCTATACCCATTTCATCAATATGAACTACTACAGTAGTGAGCTTCATAGTACATTAGTAGACATTGATGTGAACATTCACATTAGTGTATAATGATGTGAATGTTCACATTACTGTCATTTTTGATATTGTTGATTGTTGATGTCCATAGAACCCCCAATCTTCACTTAACAATGTGATGGAATATGATGTAAACATTCACATTATGACATCAATGTCAGACTTGTTGGTGTTGTTGGGTGTTGTTTGGTGCTGTTGGTTCCACCCTTTGTTTTTTCAGCCAATTATAACATAATGTGATCACCCATGTAAACATTTACATTGCCTTATAACAGTTGTTGTTTTCGGAATTGATTTTGCACACAGATAATGTAAATATTCACATTACTATTCATTACTGGATAAACTTACATTAGTAGACATTGATGTGAACATTCACATTAGTGTATAATGATGTGAATGTTCACATTACTGTCACTTTTGATATTGTTGATTGTTAATGTCCATAGAACCCCCAATCTTCACTCAACAATGTGATGGAATATGATGTAAACATTCGCATTATGACATCAATGTCAGACTTGTTGGGTGTTGTTTGGTGTTGTTGGTTCCACTCTTTGTTTTTCAGCCAATTATAACATAATGTGATCACCCATGTAAACATTTACATTGTCCTATAACTGTTGTTGTTTTCGGAATTGATTTTGCAAACATAGATGATGTGAACATTCACATTACTGTTCATTACTAGATAAACTTACATTAGTAGACACTGATGTAAACACTCACATCAGTGTATAGTGATGTGAATGTTCACATTACTGTCACTTTTGATATTGTTGATTGTTGATGTCCATAGAATCCCCAATCTTCACTCAACAATGTGATGGAATATGATATAAACATTCGCATTGTGACATCAATGTCAAACTTGTTGGTGTTGTTGGGTCCACCATTTGTTTTTCAGCCAATTATAACATAATGTGATCACCAATGTAAACATTTACATTGCCCTATAACTGTTGTTGTTTTCGGAATTGATTTTGCAAACATAGATGATGTGAACATTCACATTACTGTTCATTACTAGATAAACTTACATTAGTAGACACTGATGTAAACATTCACATCAGTGTATAGTGATGTGAATGTTCACATTACTGTCACTTTTGATATTGTTGATTGTTAATGTCCATAGAACCCCCAATCTTCACTCAACAATGTGATGGAATATGATGTAAACATTCACATTATGACATCAATGTCAGACTTGTTGGTGATCTTGGGTGTTGTTTGGTGTTGTTGGTTCCACCCTCTGTTTTTCAGCCAATTATAACATAATGTGATCACCAATGTATATATTTACATTGCCCTATAACTATTGTTGTTTTTGGAATTGATTTTGTAAACATTGATGATGTGAATATTCACAATACTGTTCATTATTGAATAAACTGACATTAGTAAACACTAATGTGAACATTCACATCAGTGTATAATAATGTGAATGTTCACATTACTGTTAATTTCTCAATCAGTCATATTATGTTGTTGTTCACATTACATTCTGAACATAATGTTAATATTCACATTGTAACATTCTAAAGATAATTTTAATATTTACATTCTGAACATAATGTTAATATTCACATTGTAACATTCTAAACATAATTTTAATGTTTACATTGTGAATATAATGTTAATATTCACATTGTCACATTCATATTGAATATTTATACCATATATTTGGCTGTGAACATTCACATTCAAACATATAAGTATAATGATATGAAGATTAACATCGTGTATACATCGTGTTAGTTTAATAGTTGTAATGTGTGACTGTTGTCACATCTTCATGTGAATTTTGGTTTGTCTCTCTGTCTCTGTCTCTCTCTCTCTCTCTCTTTCTCTCTCTCAGAGTGTAGTTGAGTTGCTAAGGACCCACTTTGGAGATAAAAGTTCATCACCAGATCCTCCACTTATACCTCTCTTTCTAGTTCCATCTCATGAAGAACCCCGTTTTTCATGTTTTGTTGAATCTGAAGTTGCTGGGGTTAGTAGCCACTGGACTTTTGGTTTATTCCTGAATACATCAACATGCAAGTGCATTACACTAGCACATGAAAATTTTAGTTTTAGAAATCTTACTTTTAATTTCTGCATAACAGTCTGCAGTGATGATCAGTTGTAAGATGCCTGCGGATGAGTTAAAAATTGTGAAGGACTACAAAAATTTACTTGCCGAGTTGATATTCTTTCATGCTTTAAATCAGAGGTTTTTTAAAATATCTCGTAGAAAGGATTCTGCATATTTTTCATGCTCTGTTGCTGCTGATGTCATAGCTCGTCCAATGAAAGCCTATATAATGACTTCATTTTGTAAAGAGAAAGGGACTATTATTGAGGCCCTAAAATCAATTCTTACTGAGGTGTGTTTTTAATATTGATGTAGGGATCTACTTGTTTTTCCTTTGTTTTATTAATGCCCTGCATTTCAGGGTGCTAGGGTTCCGCTGCATGGATTTTCTAAATGTGAAATTTCTGTTGCTCGAGCTTTGCTAATGTCAGAGATTGAATCTGCCTATTTGGAACGTGATCAAATGCAAGTATACTGCCATTTATGGAGTTGCTGTGCTGTGAAGTTCTCTGAAGCAATTTGAGATAATGGAGTTGGTGTATGCTGTGAAATTATATATATATATATATATATGAAATGTGTATTCTTTTTCTATGTAATATATATCAACAAATAGACATAAAGGTATAATAGTCCAACAAATAATATAAATTAAGAAAAAAGGACCTCATGGAATAAAAGTATAAATACACGGGACTAATTAGGTTATAATTTTCCTTGGTGGACTTATTGGGTTAAAACACCTCTAAATGGGATTTATCAATAAAAAACCCTAAACAAAAGGATAAACCAAATAAATTTTTGTTTACAGTTTCAAAAATCCTGTCAATATAAACAAAAAATTATAAATTTAAACATTACCAAACAGTCCCCTATTGTTTCATTACTGCCCCCATCTATGAAAAATTCTATTTTTACAAACCTACCTACCTCAATGCATATCATTTCTCAGTGCACACACTTATTAATTTGATTATTACTTATTATTCTCAATTCACACACTAAATGTTTCAATTATACCCTTTACTCATAACATTGTACACACACCAAATCAATTCTCCTCCACACACTTGTTGAAAATTGTAGATACTGCTATGGTTTCCGACAAACTTCAACAGTCAAAGTGAAGTGAAGACTGTTGAAAACCTCCATCCTCCATTGAAGACTATGGTGGTTCATTTCATTGAAAAAATGGTGAATAAAGATACATTGAAGTAATCCTTTTCAATCTACATGTTTGTTCTTTAAAAATAAATAAATAAATAGAGAAGCAAACATAAATCAAATGTCACAAAATGAAATTGCTTAACGAGTCATTATGCAACCAAAAAATCAGAAAACAAAAAATCTTCATCTTCACACAATTAGATGCCAAACAACTACAAAACATAGCCGAAACAATTAAAAATCAAATTGAATGATGTAAACAGTTCTAGAATTACGTGCTTTCCTTGAATGTTGATCTTCAAGTCGAATGAAATTCTCGAAGCACCGTTTGATAGCATTCCCGAGCCGTACGACTTGGCTCGAACGAAGTCAATGTTGACAGGAAGTTTGATCTTTCTGACAAGGTCAGCTAGGAACAGAAAGGTGCCGGTGGCAACACCAACGCTGTGTCACGTTCCCATCCCGCCCCAAGCAAGATAGCAGGCATGACCGGCCAATAGTGTTCAACTACCCAAGGCCTGACAAGACAAAACGAGGTTGGACTAAAAACATTGGGACTTAAGCGGAAAATCAACTAAAGTCCATTACTTACTAAGAGTCCATCCAAAGCTGTGCATAGATCACATGAACATACAAGCAAACTTTATTTCTCTTAGTCTTCTTAGTACAACATCTACAAATAAGTACATAATTCACAATATATACAATCAAAACTAAAGTCTAACATAAAGTTCTTGGACCATAACTTGTGCTCTCAAAAGTAGAAAAACACTCCTAGCTTGCTCTCTTAACCATAACAGGATCCACGGCATCACCTACATACATATAGGAAAAGGGGTGAGCCAAACTCAGTGAACAGTAATATAGTAAAATGGTTAATGAATGAACACCTGCAAGTTTAGCAAAACCAAGCACGCAAGCAATTGAACGTAGTATAGTTCTTGAAGCAAAACAAGATTGTCACATATACATAACGATGACTATTATCAAGGCATTTCGATTCACAAGATGAGGCCACAACAGGTGGCAGAGCTCAGTTAGCAAGAGGTTATTGGCCTGATTCCCAATAACAAATAAGTCCAAGATGTCATCGCACTAGATGATACAAGAGTATATGATGTTTATTCATAACAAAATAATAATATAAGTTTCTGAACATATCATATATTTGCACTTGGAAATATAATTTTAAAAACATAACTTTACTACACTACTACTCACAAATGGCTCGGTTTGACAAGATGTTATTTCCTTCCAAAGCTTGACCTATACAAAACAAGAACGAGACATTGAACTTTCTAAACACAAAGAAATTTAATCGGTTTTGACTTATCTTTTCATTATTGTTCTAACTCATTTTAGGTTGGTTTCTAAATGCATTCAACCTTTATAAAGGTTCAAAACGCGTATAAGGATGTTCGAAGGAAGAAGGAAGCGAAGAGAAAAGAAAACGGTTTGATGTCTTGCAAACTGCACGTGCGGTGGTACAGGGCCGCATGTGCGGAACCCTAGCCGCACGTGTTCTGCACGTGCGGGGGTACATGCAATTATTTCAGTAGCTAAAAGTGGGTTGGGGAAGGACTGCCGCACGTGCGGAAAGCCCCACCGCGCGTGAGGTGCTGGGTAAAAACCTGCTGCCGAGAATACCTGTTTGTTCTGAGCTATTCTCTTCCACTTTCCAAGCTAGGTTTCAAGCCAAAACACCCAAAAACATGCAAAATCAATAGAAAACATAAAATTATAGTTGTTTTCTAAATCAAAACATCAAAAACATGATGAGATTTTGAGCTAGAAAGATCAAAACTCTTAATTTAACTCTTTTTCTAACTTTGTCAAAACTTCTCTTTTCTTTTGCTTCAAAACATGGATTAAAACATGAAAACTCTTGCAAATCATAAGACTATATGAAAATAAGGATTCAAATGCATCAAGAACACCAAGACTTCAATCCAAAGAGTGAGTTTTCTAAGTTTTCTAACATTTTTCCTTCCTAACTTAACTTTTCTTCTATCTCTTCTAAGTTCTTCATTTCTACCTCTTTTTGGTTCCAATTTCTTCCTATTCTCAGATGTTTGATGAGTTTACTACAAGATTTAGAGTTGAATTCTTACCTTAGAACCCTTCTAGGTCGGATTTTTTTTGAGATTCTTGGGTTTCTCCATTTTCCCCCCTTTTTCCTTCTTTTCTTCTTCCTCCCGATTCTTCTCACCGTCTCCAGCAAAATTCTATTTGTTTGAATTAGCAATTAGAGGTTTTATTATGTGTAGCTAGGGCAAAGGTTGAAACATCTCCAAACCAATCATATTGCTCACTCAGGCTTACTTAATCTAAGTTATACTTAGGTAACTAAGTTGATTCTTAATTCTTAATAAGATTCCCTAATTATATTAAATTAATACTAATCCTACTTAGTAGTATAACACATAGCATGAAAAGGTTAGATTTATTAGACTAAAGTCTTCAGGCTCCTCACTTAAAGTGTAGGCATATCCTATGGTTTTCAAATCAAGCTCTAAACTACCCCCTAACTCAAAATTCTAACACATAACAAACAAGTTCCTAACCTAACTTTTCATGCTTCTTTTCCTTCCTCTCCTAATACTACAAATCTCAAATCACATAAACATATGACATGTAACATGAAGGTATGAGCAATTTAATATTCATGATGCATGAAAAGTGTGGTAGTCACACGCCGACCGGAGGGGATGAAGAGACGGCGTTAGTGGTGAAGTCATCGGTGATCTGAGAGGCGAGATCGGAGACTCGTTGGGAGATTTGGTCTTCACTAAATAGAAACAATGGAAGAAGTGACAAACAATGAAGAAATTTGGGTTTAGTTTTTTTTTTACTCAAAAGATTTACATGATTTTTTTTTATTTTTAAAGATGTATATATAGAATATTTTGATATAATATTATGTGTTGGCGGATGTCCATTATAGTCATTTTACATTAGGGTACAATTGTCATTAAAATAACATTTCATTAAATGTGTACACTGAGTTAAGTAAGTGTATAAAAATAGAATTTTCTCCTATCTACCACCTCTTTCCTTATTCATTGCCTTCGTTTGCCTATTTCCTTCATTGTCCCACCACAACACCAATAAGTTCATAAACACCCAAACATCTCTTTGTTTGGTTGAGTTTTATAATTTGTTTTTTTGAAAATTTTTCAAAAATTAGTTTTGTGAAAATATCAAAAATACTTATTATTTTTATATAATTTTATTTTTTAAGGGGGAAATATTTTAAAAAATCAACAATATATTTTTTGGATCAAATTTGTTTCTAATTATTACAAAAATATATAGAAAACAAATGTTGAAAACTCAACCAAACAAACACTTTAACTTGGTCATATTTTGAGCCTTCTGCAGACTAATTGATGTTCTGCAGGATTACTGCAGTTGTCAGACTATTTGTTTGTGAAGGCCAAAGGATTGGAATGATGTTTATCATTTTGGGATTGGCTTCTCTCCAATCCAATCACGGACTGGAGGGTGCTGTTGGACCGTGAAGGCCCACCACGGGTCCCATTTCGATAATCCGAACCGTTCAATATATAAAACTCGTCGAGTACTATGTGTCTGTAAAAAATCACGTTGATAGGATATCAATAGCTATTTTATCGAATCAGATTTCTGTCAACCGTTTATTTTTTTACCGTCAATTTTTTTTATACAAAACTTATTTGATTACGTAGCTATCAATATCTGATCAACGTGATTTTTTACAAATATATAGTACTTGACGAGTTCTTCACATTGAACCGATCAGATTATCAAAACGAGACCCGTAGTGGGCCCCCGCAGGCCCAATAGCAAGCTCTAGTCCAGACTGGAGGGTAGCCAAATCCTATGGTTTTATTGGACAAAATTGTTGCTGTTTTCCCACTTGACTTCAGTCCCAATACTAAAATGCTGAAAGATGTAACTTCAAGAGTTTTCCTAAGAGAGGGAAGAGAAGAATGGGCCTGCGCACAGCAGATGCCGTACACGTGCGTGACAAAAGGAAAGCGAGACCCTACCTCTTTTATTTTGTTACAAGACTCAATTCTTTTTTATTTTTTATTTTATTTTATTTATTTTTTATAATTGTCCCTTAATTTTATTAATAGGCTCACATATCCACACATTTTTGCATATTTAATTTTTGTTAATACATTTATTTGAAAATGAATATTATGATGGAATAAAATTTATACATAAACAAATATGCATTAGAATGAAATTTATTTATAAACAAATATATATGCACTTGAGAATGAATATTACGATGGAATGGTCATTGTGTTCCATTTTATTTTAGTAAACAAAATACTCCAACATAAGAAGGTTTTGAAATATTTATCAGCAATTTAAAAAATAAATCTAGAAAATTTGAAATCAATTAGTTAAATAATATTAATACCTTACTAAGTTGGTAAATTATGAAACAACATTTTGGCATTGAGAATTATATAAATATTAATTTTTTATTCTCTACAAGTGATACACAAAATCCAAAAGTAAAATATTTTGAAGAAACAAAAATAAAAATCAACAATCAAATTTGATTAGTTTGACTAAGGTTTGGATTCTCTCAAGTTGACCATCCAACTTGAGAAAGCGTTTGAGCTTAGTAGGCCTATTTTGAGGCCGATCTTCGTGATTTCGACCGTTCACTTTTTAGGACTCGATGAGTAGAATATTTACACAAAAAAATTAAGATAATTGAATATCGATAACTATATGTTTGAATCACGTTTGTTTTAAGAAAATTGACGACAATTATAAATTCAAGAATAGTCATCTATTTTTTTGTAATAAAAATGTGATTTAAATACATAGCTACTAATGTCTGATCATTTTAACTTTTTGCATAAATATTCTACTCAACGAGTCCTAAAAAGTGAACAGTTTAGATCACTGACCCACTAAGCCCAAACGCTTTCTCAAGTTGAGATGACCAATTCGAAAGAATCCAAACCCATTCCGGACCCTTTAATTAATGGACAACCAAAACTAATAATAAAAGGCACAGCAATTCCTACTGCACATTAAGGCCTCGTTTGGCAAGAGGCTATTTTAGCCAATTAGCCAAAAAGTTACTAAATTAGCCAAAAAGCCAACAACCCATACCAAAAAGTCAAAGATTCTCTTTTCTCTCTACTTTTTGCACATCTTTTCGTAATTAGCCAAAAAGTCATCCCAAACATACAAGTTTTTTTTACCTACCTTTTTAGCCAAATAGTCAAAAAGTTACTAAATTAGCCTGTTCTCAAACGAGGCCTAAGCAGTAGTAACCCCCAACCCTTATCAAGTAGTGTGCTAAAAACCCAACAAAAGGATCTAGATCGTATGATTTTAATCAATAAATATCAAGTCAGGCACCAAATGGACATGTAATAATGTTCCCTATCGCATTGATTGATTTGATTAATTGGAAATTACATGTCTTTTTCACATTTCAAATTTCTAAGTCTTCTAACATCATCTAGATCTCACATATCTAACAAAATATCATTTAGTTTTCTCAGATTTGACCCTTCTTCTGTCTAGAGAATGAACTCTTTACACTAGTCCTCTAGATCTTTTTCACATTTCAAATTTCTAAGTCTTCTAACAACATCTAGATCTCACATATTCTCAGATTTGACCCTCTTCTATCTTGAGAATGAACTCTTTACACTGTCCTCTATGAAGATCTAGAGTCCCTCTCTTATCTCTCCTACTTCCAAAGCCTCCTTGACTTAAGAGTTTGATTCTTTGAGTGTTGTCTTTGAGCACCGATTGGATGTGATCGGTTTCAAACCACAGTTCAATTGAGATTGGTTGAAATGTTCTCCAGCACAATGTTGTCAGTTCAGGTGACGGTAACTGGAAAACCTGATCCGATCCTTTCCGACCATGAACAACTCAATAATTAGTTTATTACAAATTCTATCTCTCCCTCTATACCCTTTTTATATTACCATTCCACTCATGCATAATTCTCATGGAGAAACAAGAAAACACTGAAAGCTCTTCAACATGACAAGAAGAGAGGAAGAGTGTTGCATGCCAAGACCTGCTTCTAACACTTCCTAGAGAGAAAACAGGTATGGGGTTTACTTATATTTGTATCAAGGCTGTTGGTGCCATCGAGAACAATCAAGCCCATTACCTCTTTTCAGTGACGTTTCCAAGCACACGACACCAATATAATATTGGCTACTACCCCAAAAGCAGGCACAACATGGTTGAAAGCACTCAGCTACACAATAGTGAACCATAACAAGTGTGCACTCGCAGAAAGCCCTTTGCTCACTGCCAACCCTCATAAGCTTGTTCTTTTCTTTGATTGGGATGTCTATGCTAACAACCCAACCCCAAACCTTGAAGACATTGCCAAACCAAGAATCTTCCCCACCCATGCACCATATGCTACGCTGCCAGACTCCATAAAAGATTCCAGATGCAGAATTGTCTGTGTTGGAATCCTTTGGATGAATTTATCTCTTACTGGCATTCAGCACCAAACTTCAGACCCAAACCCGTGAATCAATTTCATTAGATGAAGATTTTGACATGTCTTGTAGAGGGATTAGATTGTATGGACCCATTTGGGATCATGTGTTGGGGTACTGGAAAGCAAGCCAAGAGATGGCAGATAAGATACTGTTCATGAAGTATGAAGATATGAAAGGACACTACGAGTTCTTGGGCTTCCCATTTACTGTGGAGGAAGAGAGACCAGGGGTGATCCAAGAAGTAACAAAGTTGTGTAGTTTTGACAATTTGAAAGATTTGGAGTGAACGAGACCAGCAAACAACGCACTGGATCTCAAAACAGTTCCTTTTTCAGGAAAGGGATGGTCGGCGATTGGGCAAATTATCTGACTCCTCCAATGATAGAATGCATAAAGAACCTCATGGCCGAAAAGCTAGGGGACTCTGGCTTAACTTTCAAACTGTAGTAACTACTTCTATTGCTATTGTAATACTTATGTCACGGATTCCACTTTCCCAATTCTCTCATCTTTGATTTTTAAGAGTTTTGCAAATATTTCCTTCTTCAGTTGGACAAGCATAAGCTTCACTAAGACGGGAACTTAGGTGATGCAGAATGCAAGAAGCTCAAAGAAGAGTAAATTCAAAGAAGCGGCGATATTTGAAAATTGGAATGGTTTAAAGGAGAAATCAATAGGAACCATACATAATCATATTTCTCATATTATTATAATTCTATTTTATGATTATTTTTATGTATTCTAGAATGTTTAGGCGAGGGGTATTTTTATAATTTTATATTTGCCTACATGGGCTGTAGGAGTCGCCCATAGGTCGTCTTGTAAGTCAAGTTATTTAATTAGTCTTTATTTTTGTTTCTTATTTAGTTTTAAATTAGTTTTAGAAGTCAAAGATATTTTAGTAGTTTTCTGTTTTAGTTCTAATTGGTTTAGAAGTCTCCTAATTCTATATAAAGCCATGTGATGCTAATAATTCAATAGAGTTAATATTTTATAAAAATTTGAGAGTTTTGAAGTTTCTTTATGGTTTGTGTAATGCAATCAAACCCTAGATGTGATGCCTAAGAGATTCTAGGAGTGATTCCTAAATCTATCATCTTCTCCATCTTTCCCTCTTTTATTTTCTGCACTTTTAACAGCCCAAAAACACTATTCACAGGTACTGTTCACAGCCCCTAAACGGTGCCAAAATCCTTTCTTTTCACGCTTACCCATTATTTACCCTAAACAAGCACTACTTGTCCCCTATACTTTTATTGCAATTTCAGCCATAAAATCCAATTAAAATCAGACCCAAAAGCCCAAATTTGCTGCTGCCCTAATCATCCTACATCATTAGGCCTTGCTGGTTTTATGTTAAATTGTTAATGTGCTTGTGACCATTGTTGTGTTGGGTTTTGTCTTCAATTGTTCTCCAAAGTGTTCAAATGCCTAAAGTGTTTTTATTCATCTTTCTTAGGCCTCTCTCTCTCTCTCTCTCTCACACACACACACACACACACACACACACACACACACACACACACAAATTAATCAAGACACATTCACCCACACCTACATTCAAACCCAGATTTAAACCCAAGCCCCCTTTGAAAAGAATTTGTGGTAATTGAGGTGCCTAATCAAACACGTGGAATCAATTGTCAATGCAATTAATGAATAAAATAAACATCTACAAATAAACACTATGGGAATTTAAAACTTTCAAAATAAGATCATTTTTAGCTAGGATGCTAATTGGTGGGTTTTCCTTGGGAAAACAGAGCATGCAAGATTTTGAAAGAGAAGACAAACTGACTGTAATAAAGGTAAATAATCTTAATTAAGTTTAGTTTTTCATCGAACTAGGAGAACAATGCGCGGCCGTCTTACTTTGGTTCTCGTCCAACCTCTTTTCCGTTCTGCCAATTCCCAATTACGTCTTTTAGCAGCAGTTGAAACTCAAGCATAAATAATTGATTCAGAATATGAAATGGTTCGCTAATGATAACTTGTTTTACTACTTATTTGGTAATTTTTATTCTAGCATAACTCTAATTAGGTACTCTTTCAGTGCTTAAGATGGATCACAATAAGTCCTAAGCATCTAACTCCTGAAACAATTTACAGCATCATTTGCCATTGTGTATCATCACAAGACGAGACCCAGAAAAGGATTCAAATTAACCAAATATCAACAACATTGTGTTTCCAAAACAAGCACCTCGAATATAGCAGTGACAAGTCAAGCCAAAGTGGAAAAGAAAGAAAAGACATGTATTATTTCTTCACTTGCCTTGTGCATTGGATGGAAATAGGCCTCCGAGGTTGGCATCCAGCTCATGACAACCACACAAACTATACATAATAGGGGAAATATCACATCAGTGGGGTTTTGAAAAAATAATTACAACTCAGTTAGAAACTTTATAAATATTAATAATTAAAAAAGTAAACTTTTTCATGAATATGTATTTTTTTTTCCACTGAATTTTACAGGAGTGTAATTACCCCTAAACATTAAGCAAGTGGTGTTATGACAGTTTTGTGACCTTTCAATAAGCATTAAGCACTACAACATTTTTGTGGTTTTATTATATCAGACATAAAGAATAAAAAAAGATGCAGATGCAGAATAATACTAGGCAAAAGAAAAAAAAAAGAAGAAAGGAGTATAAGGCACATTGAGCATCAAACAAAGTTGGGAGAGGCTAGTAAGAGATAATAAAAAATATATTACCTTTATTCCTTTCAATATTGGTGCTGCCCCTGAATCACAATGTCAGCAGTGGGTGAGACTAGGCTCTCAATATAGGTATGTGAGTCAATACGGGAACAATTGTTATGATTCTTGGGATTGCTATATGTACCATCTTTTGGATTGTAGACAAGTGAATATGACCCAAATTCCAGTAAAATTTCACAATTCCTCAAAATGCAGAGTGGAATGGAACACTGATAATTCCATGGATCTGTCAGCAAAGGCATTGCAACCAACTTGGTCCAAAACTCTCTCATACCAAAACCCTTCATCACCCATACATCAGCACGAGTTCCACGATAATTACAGAGTACACATAGGCACCCCCCTACAACACCCAAGGCCGAATAAGAACAACCATCTTCATAATCAGGTTTCATAACCTCCTTATACGTCTCCTTCGCTAAATCAAGAGAAACAATAATCCAAGAGTTACTTAAATCATCACCGCCCTTCACGGCCCAATGGAGCGCCCCATTTGCAAATTTACCGGAATCATCAAAAGTAATAACATAAGGAAACTCCCCAATCCTCCTCCAAGAATTAGTCCTTACACTATACACATTCACTTCAGTCCTATACGAAACCTGACTGCCGAGACAAAACATCCCCACCAACTTGTAATCATCAATAGACTCATCATAACCAAACCCAAATGATACAAAGTAACATGACAACAATTTGATTTTAGGCAATCTATTGGATTTTCTAGTAGATGGGTTCCATAGAAACACTGCATCATCTTTAATAGCTACACACACCAACCCATTACAAGAACCCACAACCCGATACAAACTATGATGGATTTTCGACGGGTAATTGTCAAGCCCAGCAACAGTATCAAATTGCTTGCACAAAATAGAGTCAATAGAACATGAATTGAGATCAATTTGGGGGCGAATAGAGGTTATATTGAGATGGGTTTTCACGAATTGGGGATGAGAAATCAAAGAACACCATGATTTGCAAACGCACCTGAACTGCAGCACAAACTTGACTGGAAGTCTAGAGAGTATTTCGAAGATGAGTTCCTGCGGAAGTGGGTTTGAAGAATCTGAGACTGGGTTGGAGGTTTTGAGGGTTTTTTTGTGCCTTTTGGATTCTCGTTGATGAGTCGAGTGGCTTTCGATCGCCATAGTTGGAGTGGTGATGAAATGAAGAGGATATGAAAAGCCTAGAAATTAGCTTCAAAGCTTTGGAGCCTAGACACGCAAGCTGTTTGGTTGGGGATTTGGAAGAAAGACCTTGTTTGGTTCGCCATAGTTGGAGTGGTGATGAAATGAAGAGGATATGAAAGGCCTAGAAATTAGCTTCGAAGCTGTGGAGCCTACTAGACACTCGAGCCGTTTGGTTGGGGATTTGGAAGAAAGACCTTGTTTGGAATAAATTTGGTGAGTTGGTAAAAAGTTAATTTTTTAATTTTTTTATATAAAAATAGTTAAAAAATTTAATTTTTTATTAATTTCTCAAAATATCATTATTTTAGTAATTTTTTTTGAATTTTTATGAAAAAATATGTAAAAAAATAAAGGAAGTGATATAATAATTTATAATAATATTTTTATTTTTTAACTAAAATATATAGTTATCGAACGAGGTTAAAATGTATCTAATTTGAAATGTAAGTGCATATTTTATTTATAATTTATCTATATTTTTTTTATTTAGAATGATCTATATAAATATACTTTTTAAATTTTTACGAAAAAATATGTAGAAAAATAGAGAAGCGATGTAATCCAAGAAAAAAATATAAAAAATATTCTTATAGCACACCCCAAATAAAATTAAGTAAATCTCCCAACTAAACAAAACGGGTGAGTGTGTGCATGTTAGTTCGATGTTGATAGAGAGATGTTGATTTTGTTTTGTTGAATGAAGAACAAGAGTACTTGTTTGAAAAAGCTGTGTGTAAATTGGGATTGAAAAATGTATGGTATGCATATGAGTGTCTAGAAAGCATAAAGATACAGCTTTGGTTTTTCTCTCTCTAACGGGAAGAGAGCAGTGTTCTTCTTCACTTTAGGAAGCTTTCTTCAAGGTAGTTTTTCTAGTTGGGGTGCTCTTTTGGGGTTGTTCTGGTACTGTTCTTTCTAGTTTATTTGTGTTATTTTGTTTTTGTTGCTTTTGTTTTGTTGTTCGGTGTTCTTGGGTTTTGAGTGATAGTTGGGTAAGGCTGTTTGTCGGGTCTTTAGGGGAAAGAGGAGGTGCTTTTTGCTTTTTTCCTTGTTTCCTTTTTTGGGATGAAAGGTTTTAATGAGGGTTTCGCTCGAGACGGTAGCTGGACTGATAGTAGTGATACTGGAGTAGGAAGTGAAGTTTTTGAAGAACGACGATCTGCATATTCACCTCGTGCGTATAATCCACTTTCCTCGCATCATCTTCGGCGCGGAGTGAGTATGGCAATGGTTGAGGCAACTTGGGAAGTGGGTCAAAATATTTTTCAAAACTGTTTAGTTGGTTGTGTGCATGATATTAGGGAGTTCAATGTCTATCTTATGCAATCTTATCTTGATGACCTGTGGCAGCTAGATGGCTTCCTGCATATTTTTGGTCGTAGTAAGAATATCTATATTCTCTCTTTTGAGCATGAAGATGACTTACAAAGGGTGGTAGCCAATGGTCCTTATGCCGTTGCTGGAGCTTTCTTCACGGTCGATTATTGGTGACCACAGTTGGTGCTAGAGAAGTTAGTTATTTCACGGGCTGCAATCTGGGTACGATTGGTTGGGTTTCAGCTTGAATGTTATATATTCTAGGCTGGTTTTTGCTTTGGCAAGGCTATTGGAGAGGTTAGTCACATTGATGTGGATCCTCTTTTAGCTCGGAATATTCGTTATTTGAGGATTAAAGTGTGGATATGCTTGGAGGCACCGTTGATTAGTGGTGTCTTCCTAAAGTTTCCAGATGGAAATCATCATTGGATCGAACGTCAATATGAACGTCTTTGTCGATTATGCCGGAAATGTGGGAAGATTGCCCATACGGATGGACAGTGTGCAACACCATTTCGGGAAGGTCACAATCTTATTCAACATCATCTTTCTAGTGTAGTTCAATGGTTAGGGACTCGAGTGCTTCATCAAGAAGACCAACTGATGTGTACTTCAAGAATTCGGGCGAATGCTGATCGGCCAGAGAGACGGTCCAATAGGTTAGCTCGTCGAACCACTGTGAGGCCTGTTTTTGAAACCGGTATTGCACATGGTGCGGGTGGGTCGAATACAGCTCGTTCAAGTCATATTCAGTTTATTCATGCCTGGGAGAATGCATGGGATCAAGCATTGTTACCGGTGCCGGCGGATGATGTAAGGCAGATTATGGATAATTCCACGCAAGCCGGTGTAATAGGTGACCCGCTACAGGAGGAGGAGGTTGGCCGATCAAACTGAGTCAGCTCGTGCTATTGCCTCACTACCCGACGAACTGGTTAACTCAGTGGTTGGATTAGAGTTAGAGTTAGCGTTAATGTGGAGTAAATGGGTTGCAATGCAGGATTGCAATCTTTGGGCATTAACGTTGGACGGCTTATGATTGACGTCGATCAATCTGAATGAAATGATAATTTACAACGTGAAGGACAATGGTCTACAGATACAGAGATAAGACTGGAAATTATGGGCCAAAGATTTTTCGAATTTTCGAACTGGGACAATACTATTCAGTCCATTAACCAGCAAGGAGTGGGCCGCAGATTGAATATACGATATGGAGAACGAAATTTGGGCCAATGGGCCTTGGTTGTATCCGGGCATCAGGCGGCGGGGGAGGGGGGGTTTGCAATGCATCTGTCTTATGGACAACAAACTGGGGCTTCTAGTTCACGTGGGCAAGGTCTCTTGGTTAGTCTTGCAAATGACAGTTTGGGGACTGAATTTATTAATGGGCCTCGACTTAAAAGACATCTACTGGGTGTTCATCATGGTGATTATTATTCTGATCTGAGGGTGTTGCTGAGCTGAGGTTGGAGGAGGGTGTGAGGCAGAGAGGTTTTACATACATGATGTAGGTGGAGTGTCTGATTCAGTGTTGTCAGTTTCTTTTGGTGGGTGGCAGACGACGACGGAAAATTCACCGTGGGTTGGTGTTGGTCAATAACAAGTTGATTTCGGTTCCGCATCCAGATGAGCAAGCTAATCAATGTTGGGCTGTCCTTCATGTGCCAGCTGAATCTTCACGGCATCAACGGTGGTGTTCTAGATCAGGTCGAGCTATGGTCAGCTCTCGACGAACGTAGAAAAGGCAGATGCTGGGGCGGCGAAAGAGTGGCGGACTGGTTGGCGATGGTTCACTCCGACAACGCAAACGGCGTTTCAAAACAAAAGAGGACGTGATACACAGGAGGATGGGGGGTTCGGAGTCGGGTTACGATTCGGAAAAGAGTTCATCGGATAACATTGAGGAGTCTATACATCCATCAAATTGGCCCGAAATGCATCGTTTTTTTATTGAGCAGGAGGCGGCAAGAATGAAGGATATATGGCTTTCGTCACCAGATCATGTTCATGAGGGGGTTTCTCAGGAGGTTGTACCACAACAACCTCCTCTGTCACCATGAGGATGATTAGCTGGAACTGTCGGGGTTTGGGTCATCCCCTTACAGTTCGAACAGTAAGACAATTGACCCAGCGAAGCGATGGCGACCGAATTTGATTTTCTTAAGTGAAACTAAAAATTAGTACACTAGGATTATGTATCCTATCTTAACTAATAGTCAAGTTTAAAATAATTAATCCGTACTTTAATTGTTTAACCAAACATCGGATTAATAATTTTATTGGACTATTAGTCCAATCCCAAGCTCATGTCCACCCAAACAAACATGGCCTAGGTGGACTTTTTGAGGATGTCTCTGGGCTATAAATATTGTTTTGGAATGAATTGTCAAGGTAGCAGGGGAGGCTTGTGGGATGACTGTTATCATATTGTTGGAGTCTATTAAGGCCATGTTTGTTTGGATGGACTAGATTAGCATTTTCATGACTAATAGTCCTAGGATTACGAATCCATTGGATTATGTATCCTATCTTAACTAATAGTCAAGTTTAAAATAATTAGTCCGTACTTCAATTATTTAACCAAATATCGGATTAATAATTTTATTGGACTATTAGTCCAATTCCAAGCTCATGTCCACCTAAACAAACATGACCTAAGTGGGCTGTCACGATGCAGATTAAGTGCCTATCTATTTTTATTGATTGTAGAGTTTTAGTTGATAGCCGTAGACAAAAACGTCGTTTAGATTGAGATGTAGATTTAGTAGTGCAAGATATTTTGAGTTTGAGTTCTACATTTCTTTTTCTATGTGTAACTAAAGTGGACAGGGTTTTGGTTGAACCAGCACATAAACTTATAAAATTTGTAACTGCTTTACCTAATGGCTAATATGGGAGCTGGTAAGATGTGCACCTTATTAAATAGTGCACATCATGTACACATTTATTTTAAGCCATTAGATATTTATAAATTAATCTCAACCATCAAATAATTTGATTGAAAATATTGAATGCCCTCTCAATCGATTACAATTTTGTTTACTGATTGTTGTATGTTCCACAAACCCTCTTCACTTTGTTTTCCCAAAACCCTTATTCTTCAGACCAATCCAAAGCTCCTATTCCCCCTCTTCAGACACGACTCCGGAGCTCTCTTCAGAGACGACTCCGAAGCTCCTCTTCGCCTTCTTCAGACACGACTCCGGAGCTTTCTTCAGACACGACTTCGAAGCTCTTCTTCGCCCTCGAAGACTATCCCGCGAACATTGCGTGCCCTTCACTTCGCCTCAAGGTATCTCTCTCTCTCTCTCTCTCTCTCTCTCTCTCTCTCGCTGCAACTTGTTTCTCTCCCTTTCTCTATCTCCATTCTATGAAACCCTAGACTGAAATCCCCTTCTTCGAAACTGCCCCTTTCACCATTGTGAACTCACGAGGTTGGTTTATAAAATTAGGAAAATATGAATTGAATCGGTTTAGGTTTTTGATGTTTGTTTCCTTTGATAGTTGTTTTGAGTTCATATATATATATATATATATATATATACACTTGAAATTTGGCTTGAGTGTGTGAAATCTGATGTGTGGATAATTGAATTTTGTACTCATATAACTTATATGAGACTGCAATTTTTTATTTGTTTATTGAAATCTGTTTATGTTTGTAACAATTACTCTTGTGGTAGCTTGTTTTTCCTATTAGAAAGAAAATTATAGTGGTTTGGGATGTATTACTTTTAGCAATTGTTTGGAAATTATGGAAAGTGAGAAATGAATGGATATTTTGATGTTACTGTGACTTAGTTGAATGCCCATTTAGTTATTTTTGTTTT